TTATTTGCTGCTCTGTTAATTGCTTAATAGAGCCTGCAAGAGCTTTCTGTGTTAGTTCAATTTAACAAAGTAATCCTGGGTAATCCAGAAGAAGGATTCGTAACAATATTCTTAGGGTTCTTGATGTGGCAACTTGTTGCTCTCCCCAAGCTCTTTGTGTCCTTTTACTCCATTTCTGCGTTTGATCGTTTTGGCTTTTCTCTTTCCCTTAGCCCTGCTGTTTATCCTTATAAATTGAAATTGCTGCAGAAAAAGCATTAAATCATGCTTTGCAGAAGGGTTTTGAGAACATTTGATGATACCTGCTTTGATTCTTGCTGCACTTCAATAAAGACTTTTGGAAAGGTATTATAAATGCAATCATGCATACAACCCTGTAGTCCTTATTTTTCGAATTTGTTGCAAAATTTCCAGTGATGTTTCAATTTGGTTTTTGGAAGTGTCTGTAATTATGCCTTTTTGTGTATTATGTACTTTTTTTTTCTTAAATAAAGACTTGGACAAAAAGAAAAAAAAATGAACTTTTAAAATCTTTTTATGGTGCCAGGGGAGGTGTGGCTAGGTCACATAAACAAAGTGACAATTCATAGATTGCAAGCTTATTTGAGCAAGGTCCTCTTCACCTCTTTTCTCTCTGAATATTATTTTGTATGCCAATTACTTGTTAATATCGCCACTCTACAATGGTTGATCAGTGGAGTTGAGAGAAATTAGTTTCAGCCGGTTCGGCCAAGTCAAATTCATTTTAATCCACACCCAATGAATAAGAATCTACAGGTAAATCCTAAATGAATCGATTTGTTCGAATGTGGATTAAAAAGAATTTGATTCAGATTCAATTTTTGCACGTCTACTACGGAATATGTTGGCGCTATATAATCGATAAAATAACAATAATGATTATTACAGTAATTCCTAAATGGCAGAGAATTGAGCAGTGAGACTGCAAGGCTGTACACCAAAACTGCTTCATTAAGCTAAAGTTGTTATTGTGCCTATAGTGTCCATTTAAATAAAGCAGGCAATAAAAGAAAAGAAAAAGCCAGTACTTTTTGTTTCAAATATATATATATTCATATAATGTAATAACAATAAACACGTTGACAATACACATTGATAATACATGAGTTTTTACAACAATGACAATATAATGAAAATAAAAAAAATAAACATTTAAAATAAATAAAATAAAAGCCAATATTTTTTTTTCTCCACATATGGGAAAAAAGCGATTTATTGGCTCTGCTGCCCTGATGAGTCAGCTACATGCCATACTGGTTTTAGGTTTGTGTTTAAAAAAAAAAAAAAAAAGGGGAACACTATTGGGTTTCAGAAGAAGAACCGCAAAACGCTCTTAAAACTCAAAGAATACATGATTGAAAACAGTCCAATGACTAGTAGCTCCTTTCTGTCTGTCCTTTCAATTATATATAGCAGGGCTTGCACGGATGTAAGTGCTAAGTTTATTCCAGGAGAAATTCTTCTTTACAAGTTCACATTTTTATTTTAAAATTTATAGAGACAGAAATAGTACAGCTCAACAGGCAGTGTGGGTAAGAGTTTAGTGCACAGACATGGTACATGCCTTTTGGAACACAAAGGTAGTAGAAGTCTCAATGGGAAATTCTTTGCCCTAGATACACTGAAGTCTATTCATCCATTGCACACTCGCAGGTGGGGATTTGCTATTGTGATTATGCATTGAAAACAGCAAATTTACAGAAACAAATATGACATAAATGGTAAACCATTAGGGCACCTAATCCCATCTAACTGAAAGTGGATGTAAACATAGTGGGCCATTCCATCAGTGTCACCCAGGTTTTGTGAGCTAGAGTAGACCGCTTCTTGAGTGTCCGTTGTCATTCTGTTAGACTATGTCCTAATTTCATTTTATTACGTTTTATCAACTTACTAGTAATTCCTGCCTCCAGTCTGTCCATCACCTCACATTTTTCTACACAATTTTTTACATGGGTTGAAAGGAACAATGCAAGCACTGTAGTGGTTATGGTGCCAGGAGTGCCCACCCCTCCGCCCCCCTTCCATCACCACTTTTTTTCCTTTTTTAATTTATAATTTTTATTTAAAAAAAATAAGAGGTAAAGAAAGGGTACAGAACAAAGGGGGGAGGGGGGTGGGAAAGGGTGGAGGAGCATGGGAGGCGACAAGCCAGTACCATATTCCTTTTGCAGAAGGAATCTGTTTACTTATATCTCAATATGGCAACATATAACAAAATGTCAAAATATAACAAGATGTCAAAATGTATCAAAATGTATCGAGGTGTCAAAAGGTCCAGTGAATCATGTAAGTGTTGGGTATTATCTGTGAACAGGTAGGCTCTATGAACTAGTAGGCTATCTCCGTCCTCCATCTGTATCTTATTTTAGTTGGTAGTCTATTGACCTAATTCTCTATGCTATCCAAGTTATAGTCTTCGAGTGGGGATATGGTATAGTCGTAGCCTTGGAGTAGCTTGGTGTGGGGTTTTTAACTCGTGGGTCTAGGTTTATTATCTACTATATTAAGCCATGGTGTCCATATTTGTTCTACTTCCCTCCTTTTTACGTATGAATCTGCAGAGAGTATCTCGTATTTATAGTATTGCTGTATTTTATTTAGTAATTCTTTACACGAGGGGCATTTGGTGCTTTTCCAGCATTGGGCTAGTAAGTTCCGTGCTGCTAAGATAACCAGGGAGGCTATTTTTTTATGTTTATTATCCCATTGGTTCGGGAAGATCAATAACAGTGCTAGGTTTGGTGTAATAGGAGATGTGTAATCTAGAGCCCGGTGTAGTATTTGCTGTGTATGCTTCCATAGGGGTTTTATCACGGTGCATTCCCACCATATGTGGGTCGTGTTGCCCTCTTGCGATTCGCATCTCCAGCATTTCGGGTTTATGGCGGGGTAGATTTGTTGTAGTCGTTGTGGAGTGAGATACCATCTATACAGGGAGTGCAGAATTATTAGGCAAGTTGTATTTTTGAGGATTAATTTTATTATTGAACAACAACCATGTTCTCAATGAACCCAAAAAACTCATTAATATCAAAGCTGAATATTTTTGGAAGTAGTTTTTAGTTTGTTTTTAGTTATAGCTATGTTAGGGGGATATCTGTGTGTGCAGGTGACTATTACTGTGCATAATTATTAGGCAACTTAACAAAAAACAAATATATACCCATTTCAATTATTTATTATTACCAGTGAAACCAATATAACATCTCAACATTCACAAATATACATTTCTGACATTCAAAAACAAAACAAAAACAAATCAGTGACCAATATAGCCACCTTTCTTTGCAAGGACACTCAAAAGCCTGCCATCCATGGATTCTGTCAGTGTTTTGATCTGTTCACCATCAACATTGCGTGCAGCAGCAACCACAGCCTCCCAGACACTGTTCAGAGAGGTGTACTGTTTTCCCTCCTTGTAAATCTCACATTTGATGATGGACCACAGGTTCTCAATGGGGTTCAGATCAGGTGAACAAGGAGGCCATGTCATTAGATTTTCTTCTTTTATACCCTTTCTTGCCAGCCACGCTGTGGAGTACTTGGACGCGTGTGATGGAGCATTGTCCTGCATGAAAATCATGTTTTTCTTGAAGGATGCACACTTCTTCCTGTACCACTGCTTGAAGAAGGTGTCTTCCAGGAACTGGCAGTAGGACTGGGAGTTGAGCTTGACTCCATCCTCAACCCGAAAAGGCCCCACAAGCTCATCTTTGATGATACCAGCCCAAACCAGTACTCCACCTCCACCTTGCTGGCGTCTGAGTCGGACTGGAGCTCTCTTCCCTTTACCAATCCAGCCACGGGCCCATCCATCTGGCCCATCAAGACTCACTCTCATTTCATCAGTCCATAAAACCTTAGAAAAATCAGTCTTGAGATATTTCTTGGCCCAGTCTTGACGTTTCAGCTTGTGTGTCTTGTTCAGTGGTGGTCGTCTTTCAGCCTTTCTTACCTTGGCCATGTCTCTGAGTATTGCACACCTTGTGCTTTTGGGCACTCCAGTGATGTTGCAGCTCTGAAATATGGCCAAACTGGTGGCAAGTGGCATCGTGGCAGCTGCACGCTTGACTTTTCTCAGTTCATGGGCAGTTATTTTGCGCCTTGGTTTTTCCACACGCTTCTTGCGACCCTGTTGACTATTTTGAATGAAACGCTTGATTGTTCGATGATCACGCTTCAGAAGCTTTGCAATTTTAAGAGTGCTGCATCCCTCTGCAAGATATCTCACTATTTTTGACTTTTCTGAGCCTGTCAAGTCCTTCTTTTGACCCATTTTGCCAAAGGAAAGGAAGTTGCCTAATAATTATGCACACCTGATATAGGGTGTTGATGTCATTAGACCACACCCCTTCTCATTACAGAGATGCACATCACCTAATATGCTTAATTGGTAGTAGGCTTTCGAGCCTATACAGCTTGGAGTAAGACAACATGCATAAAGAGGATGATGTGGTCAAAATACTCATTTGCCTAATAATTCTGCACTCCCTGTACATGACTTTTTTGTGTGCTTCTATGTGTGAGAAATAGGACGTGAGTACTTCAGGGCATTTAACGCCATGATCCATTGATCGTCTGTAAGTTTAGAGATACCTTCTTTTTCCCATTGTTCTACATATTTAAAAGAGTGGGGTGGCGATTGATTCAATATTGTTTTATAACAGAGCGATAAGGATTTGGGTTTAGTCGGAGTTGTGTGACATCTAGAGATAACATTTGATGTCTGTACAATGTTTTGTGGTGGGATGTGGATTTGGTGGGATACATGGGTGTTTACAACGTTTTTTAGCTGCAAATATTTGAAGACCAAGGAGTTAGGCAGGTTGAATTGGTTTTGTAGATCTGGGAATGATTTAATCCCTGTCTGTTCTCAAATGTCTCTAATATATCTAATTCCACATTTGGTCCATGATTGTAATGATAACCATGGCGTTATCATTGTTAATGCCTCTATTAGAGCATGTGTGCAGTACTTCCCTTTCCCTGATACCGTAGTCAACAGTTTATCCCAGTATTTGAGTGTTACTTTAGAGGTAGGATATAGTATTATTTTTTTTGGTCGATGTATTGTTGGTGACCACATTATGTGTAGTATGGAATTAGGGTGTGTTTTGTCGTTTTCCATGTCCACCCATTGAAACGTGTGTTTAGGGGCATGGAGCTTTATGGCGGATTCGAGAATAGCCGCCTCATAATAGTCGGTAATTTTTGGTACCCCTAAGCCTCCTGTGGATTGTGTCTGCTGGAGTAGGGAGATAGGTAATCTTGGTTTTGCTTTGTCCCATATAAATCTGGAAAGAGTGGTTTGTAGTGTTTTCAGGATGTGTGGTTGGATATGAAGGGGCAACATCCGAAATATATAGAGAATTTTAGGTAATATTACCATCTTAATAGTGTGGATTCGACCGAGCCATGATAGGTGGATTTGTTCCCAGCTCTGAAAGAGGGAGGTACACATATGTGGTAGCGGTCCATAGTTCAGGGTTATAGTTCTGGCGGCATGTAAAGCAAGTTTCACTCCTAGGTACATTATATGGTTTTGTCTCCAGTCAAATAGGAAGGCCTGGCGTAGTTTCTTAACTTGTGGTGTGGGCATGTGTAGTGGTAAGGCTTGTGTCTTCGCTTCATTAAGTTTATAGTACGATAGTTTTCCGTACTCTTGCAATAGGTTCATGAGACGGGGTAATGAGATATCGGGTGTGCAGATGGTTAGTAGGATGTCATCCGCGAACATTGATAGTTTGTAATTTGTGTGTCTTATGGCTATTCCTATAATTAGTGTGTCTTGTCTAATTTTGATTGCTAGGGGTTCTAATGCGAGGATGAAAAGGAGTGGGGATAGGGGGCATCCTTGTCTAGTGCCGTTGGTGAGGTTGAAGGGTGATGAAATGAATCCTGACTGGTATACTTGGGCAGTAGGATTGTTATACAAGGTCCATATGCCTTGGATCATTTCTTTTGGGAACCCATATTGAGTGAGAACTGTTGTCATGTATGTCCAGTTAAGTCTGTCAAATGCTTTTTCAGCATCTAGTGCCAAAATGAGGCTTTCAGTTCTCTCTGTGTCAATGTGGCACATTATGTTGAGGATTTTCCTGGTATTTTCGGAGCCCTGTCTGCCTTTAATGAATCCTGATTAGTCGTTGTGTATTATGCAAGTCAATATAGGGTTTATTCTATTCGCTAGGAGTTTAGCATAAATTTTTGTGTCACAGTTTAATAGAGAAATTGGTCGAAAATTGGGGCAGTGGGTCGGGGGTTTCCCCGGTTTCGGTAGCGTAGTAATATGGGCTCGTAGCATTTCTGCTGGCATAAACCCGTTTTGGAAACATTGGTTGAACAGTACCATCATATGGGGTGCTAGTATATCTTTGTATGTGTAGTAGTATAAGTTTGTAAACCCATTGGGTCCTGGAGATTTGTGTTTTGGGAGTTGTTTTAGGATGTCTATAATTTCTTGTGTTGTGAATGGTTGTATCAGACTATGGCTTTCTTCTGTGGTGAGGGTAGGTAGATGAATGTCTGTCAGGAATGTATCTATGTCTTCTTGTTTGGGTATATGGCAATCAAGCCCTTTTGCTAGATTGTATAGGTCGCTGTAGTATTTGCCAAATTCGTCTGCTATTTCTTGTGGGTTGGTGAGTTTTTCTCCTTCTTTAGTATGTATAAAGGGTATTTTGACGATGTGGTCTTTGCTTTTAGTTGTGCCGCCAAGACTTTCCCCGCCCTATTGCCCTCTTGAAAAAATTTGTGTTTCATTTTGGTTAGTAAGTAACTTGTTTTGGCCATTTCAATTTCTCTCCATTGGAATTGCAGGTGAAGAATTTGTTGTGTAGTGTCGTGTGAAGGTGCATGTTTGTTAATGCGGGTGAGTGTGACTAGTTCTGTGTTTATGTCTATGTAGGCTGTCGTGCGTTGCTTTTTATTGTAGCTAGCATGTTTAATAAATTGCCCCCAAGGACTGCTTTGTGAGCTTGCCATAGAGTTTCAATTCCAATATCTCCTGTGTCGTTTAGGGAGAAGTATGTTTCTAGGTCTTTGTTTATTTGCATGACTAGTTTATGGTCAGTTAGAAGGGAATCGTTTAGTCGCCATGTATTGTTTCCACTTGTAGGGTGTTGTGTTGTCAGTGATAGAGTGATCGGGGCAATATCTGACCAAATAATAACACCTATATTTGTACTGGATACTTTCGGTGTGTGGGCCGATGGGAGTAGAAATCGGTCAATTCGGGAGTAGGTGTTATGCACCAGGGAATGGTGTGTATAATCTTTATCTAGAGGGTGTAGGGCTCTCCAAATGTCGGTGTATCCGTGTGTGGAGGATGTTTTCTATATGGGCAGTCGTGTGTATTCTCTGTTTCGTCGTCTTGTGTGAGATCTTGGAGGAAGAGGTGGTGTTTGAAGTTGGGTCTAAAATAAAATGTGTCTCCTCCGCTTAGTATTTCTCCAAATTTATGGGCATTGGTTAGAGTGAGGATATGGTCTAGGAATACATGGTGACCACTTTGTGGGCCATATATGTTTACTAGTGTATATTGAGTATTGTTAATTATGCACTGTATGAGGAGGTATCGTCCTTTTTTGTCGCTCACTTGTTTTATTAGTTGGAAGGAAACAGCGTTACTTATCAATATTGTGACACCTCTTTTCTTTTTCTTGTATGTGCTGTGGTAGCCTATACGATATAATTTGGAAGAGAATTTTGGGTGATTTGAGGTCTGAAAATTAGTTTCTTGATAGAAAGCTATATGGGCTCAGTGTTTTTTCGCTTCTTGTAGGGCCATATGACGTTTGTGAGGGGAGTTAAGTCCCTTAGCGTTTGACAAAATATTTAGTGTCATTTGCATTTGGTAATGAGGGCGCTAAATGTGTGTTGGATGCGAGGTTTATCGCTGCCAAGGTAGTATGGCGTTTTATGTCCCTTGGTTTCTAGTTGGGGTGTGGTGTTATACAACAGGGGTGTATGGAGTTGGGCCAGCAATAAGTGCCAGTGAGTTCTACTTTGTGCTTGTAGGATGTGTGTTGATGCGTTCTGGTGGCATCATGTCGCCTTGGGAGGGAGGGAAGGGAGGGGCAACTGGGGTATAACAAACTATATACAAAGAGAAGGTCTTCAACTTGAGACCTAATTGTCCTAGTATTTGTTGGGCATCGAAGCCCTCTTGTGGGGTGGAGAGTCCCTTTTCTTTAGGGAGAGTTCTACCGTCTTAGGAAGTGTGTTGATTTCGGTGTGGTCTTTTGATGTGGACTAATGTATACATGGTACGTTCCAGGATATTAATACCTTTTTTTTTGTACAGCCTATGGTTCCTGTTGGGTTCCATCGTGCTCCTGAACCGTAAGCCCTGTATGTAGATATTGTGTCTGGAAAAAAAGTAGTGCGTTCCAAAAAGTAGTGTTCTTGCTAAAGCCTAATGAAAGTCTGGGAGCGTTAGTGACCTTATTTTCCAGATGAGGGCTAGTGTTGGGTGTTGTTCCCAACTTTTGACTGAAAAACAAGGATAACAGGATGAGAGAGGCGCTTCCTTAATGTAACCGTTATTCTCGTTTTGGTTTGTTTATGGTGAATTTACAATTGTCCAATGATGGCAGCAATGACTAGCAATTTTGTCTCACCAGTGAATTTTTTTTTCCGGGTATTTAAAGTCAGTGAGTGAGACTACAGTTGGACTTGAGTCGGTGGCCGTTGGTAGGCATAATTACGTGATAACTGTCGGGTCAAGTGTTGGTGGTATATGTCCCATGTCAGGCTTCTATATGTTAGTGTGTAGATAGTCATTTCGCGATCTGATGTTTCTATCCTCCTAATATTGTATTGGGAATTTCAGTATCTGTGCAGTATTAATTAGGGGGTAGTATAACCTAAACTTGCATATAACAAAGTGTTAGCTCTTCCTTGGGATGATTTTACTGATGGATTGTGCGTAAATGTGTTTGACAACTGACATACATACAGTACTTTTACTCATGTGTTTTAGAAAATGTAAAGCACTAGGGAATAAAAATAAATTTAGACACAGGCAGCTATATAGAAGGAGAACGGACAAAGTATTTTTGGTGACAGTCCTGCTTTATGTAGGCTGATGTAACGAGGCAAACGCCCCCAAACATACTAGTCTGACAGCAGTTACAGCCATGGAAACCTTAACATACAAAATACATTTTACAAGGGATGTTTGAAGTTTATAAAAGGGAACATAGATGCATATAAATTATGTGACATTTGTCAGAATAAAATCTCCCCCAGGATTGTATTAAATATCTCTTTACAAACATTTGAAAATCCACTTTATAAATCAAGAACATTGCAGCACGCTCCCTGTATATGAACATCCATAAGTGATTTAAAAACCATCACATTCACAATAGGTTTATGTCTGGAGGCAATCTAAAAATAAATCATAATTTAAACAGCAGAGACACCTACTGGCGATAGAATAGCATTGCCTCAAACCAGCTGCAGCTGGTTTATTTCCCCAATACTTCCACTTGACCTATTTCACAAAGGCCCTGTGGGAAAATTAATTTAACCATTTAGAATCTGAACAAAACATTAAAACCTTTTGTGATGCCTGAAATGTCACAGACTTCATGAACGGACATGAATTATAAGGTCCGTGACATTTCAGGCATCACAAACACAAATTTAAAAATTCCCATAACACTTGCGTATATTGATCAACTTAGAAAAACGTGGTTATTAAATGCGGCTAGTATGACATTGCATATTCAAAATGCAGCACTACTTTGACATCTGTAACACTGCCTACTGCTGGTTCAAATTTTATCTTTTAGCTTGTTCTTCAAAGCATATGCTTCTCAGACTGCCTGTCTTTTGGTGAACGTTATGGTTTTGGCCTTGACCCCTTGTTCTTCTCCACTACAATGCTTCCCAGACATTAAATTTCCTCCTTCCCTCTGCTGCTAAATCAGGCCACTTTCACTTAAAGGACATTGCTAAGATCCATTAGTACTGGAAGTGTTAAACTTGCATTATCAGTGTTAACGTTTGAGGTGGTCTCTGGGCACAGCCCAAGTTTATCAAATGATTCCTAAAAACAGTTTGACAATAAAACCAGGGATAGTGGCAAAGCATTCTAGGCAACACAACTAATACTAGTGAGCTATAGTGAGAATGTTGCTTAGACTCACAAAAAAAAAAAAAAAAATGAATGTTGCCAAGAGTGTTCCTTTAAAGCCTTGAGATAGCAAATATCTGGCTCCTAGGCCATTACAATAAATGCACCATATCCCACCCATTGCTCCAAGACTTGCATGAATCCAGCACAGTTTGCCTTCATTTTTTTTTTAATGAGACATAAAACTCAAAGAATTAAACATTGAATAGTACACATTTAAGCTTTAAAACCCCTTTTATCGTCATGGAACAATGGAGTGCAATAAGCAACTTCTCATATACAACAATTGTAAAAGCGATTCATATGCTTAGTAGTTGGCATATTTTGCATGACATTCCATAGCAAAATGTAAACGTTTAAACAAAATAAAAAAACAAAAAAAAATAAAAACACTTTGAATGGACACTTAAAGTGCTAATTAGCTCAAATTGGTATAATGTCTTGATATAGCATGACAAATGTGGGTGGTGGGGGAACTATATAATATTGGTAAGTCGCTATGGAGGGACTGGACCACTATGACCCAAGTCAAGTACCAATCCGCAAATACAAAAGTAGAGTTAAATTTTGGACTGAGTGGAGTTGACTAGTGAATGGATATAGGGTTGATAGAGAGCGACTTATCTCAAGACTGTTTCAATTTCCACACAACCCCAAAAGCAAATATGAAAGTCTGCTCCGCTTGTCCCACACTTTTGATTTAACAGAAATTGTTTTTGGGGGATTAATAGGCATGGTGTTTGGTGTTTACATTCGATCAGCCTCATCCCACGAAATGCATCTAATTACATTTAAACCCAATACTATCAAATAGAATATGCAGATTTCAGTAGAGTAACTGGAATGAATGTTTTGTTACTTGTTAATAAACCCATGTGGGAGGTAGTTCTATTTTAGGATTTCATTCTTTAAAAGATCAGATAACACTGATGTAAAACGCTCATTGCTGTGAACTGACCACAGACTACATTAATCACGGAATAAGCTTGTAATAAACCCTGTGAGTAAACAAGCCACATGGGCCAAGTAATATCCTGGCTTACAAATGTACAGCTTATTTAAATATAGAAAAAGTGTCAATAATGCACACCTTTAAATTAATACAAACAATATTTATTGTCAAGCTATATTACAAATATCACGAATTCCCCAGGATATTGTCCGTTCAGATTCATTTATTAAAGACATTAAAAAACACAATCCATTTTAAGCATTGCATTTCCTAGTTAATAAATCACAAGTGCACATTTAAAAAGCATGTCAAAAATGCAAATCTTAATCTTTTGCGAGAACTTACAAATTTTTGTAAAATTGTGTAAGGAGCTCCTAAACAAACAAACAAAAAAAAAAAAAATAAACACTGAGTATATACAAAGCAGCAGGGAAAAGGCTAGTTTTTAAAGCATGGATATTGAGCAACAGGAGCCCCTTCAAATGGCAAGGAGCTACATACATTCACGAGCAGCCCTCCATGCAACCGCTCATTAACACGCAGTTCACAGCCATCTCGAAGCATTCGAACAGCAATCCGGGCTATGTTCTTAGAATCATCCAGACCACTGTGCAGACGGCCATCATAATTCATTCCCAACTTTTCCAACATGGTTGTCAGCTTGGTTTGGGTCCTTGGCACCTGACATAGAAAATTGCAAAACCGTAAACTAAGGGGAGGTGGGTTTCAGTAAACACAATCACATCAGATCAGATCCATAATGTTATAGTACGGGATTAGGTTCTACTTCAGAGCTTTCTAACCAACTGAAAACATTATCAATCTTTAGTTAACAATTAAAAGTGGGGATCTTAAGGTCTATCCAAACAAACTGGTAGATTTCAACTTGGATAGCAATAGATTTATTTTATCTTCTAATTTTCTCCATCATGACTAAAACACTAACAGATTATTGTCCGGTGAGATTACACAGAGTGGTGACTGGAAGCCAGGTAAGCAGTAGGATAAAGTTAAAAAGGACACCAAGTCCCCCACAGGACAGACAGAGGTAGTTCACTAACTTCTCTAATTTCGCCCAGACTCTTCATTCTTTTCCCCTCTATTTATTTTTCTAATCAAAGTTTAAAACTGAGGCTGCAGACATATTGCTCTAATAATGTACAGACTCTGACCTGTTGATCACCTACGTGTGACCACTCATAACGGATGCATTGTTGCCGAGTCGCCTATTTTAATGTAACAACGAAATGCCACATGTAATGATATACATACCGATGTTTTTAGTTAACCCTGTACACATTGGTCATTCTGAATGAGAAATGTTTGCATGCCTTTTTGAAAAATCAAGAATATTTATAAAAAAAACACGAATGACCAAGTCACCAAAACAACTTTAACATATCATGCCTCTGCAGTCTAACTGCTCAAATTATCTGCCATTTAGGAATTAAATGACTGTTTCCACAGCCAGTCACTATTCCTTGCAAACGATTTACACAGCCTACCTGAATATTTCCTATAAAGTGTCATTTAAGGTTTACACTTAATTTATGGCAAATTCTGTTTAATTTAGAATTTCTTATATCTGTTAATAGCTTGCTGGACACTTTTTTGCCATTTGGTTATCAATGATGATAAAACAAAAAGTTTGTCTTTTCTGATCAAATAAAATTTTTGGGAGCAAGAGAGATACTGCCATGAGTAGAACAAGATCATCCAGTGAAGAGAAGACAGAATGACATTTTACTTTCAGCCATCCTAGAACAATTGTTTACATTCTGTTTTATGTTTAATATCTACATTTTCCCATCTGTGCAGACTTTAAACAAAATGGTTTGTAATGTCGTAGCTTGTACAGACCTTGTAAAAATTCCCATAACACTTGCGTATATTGATCCACTTCTTAGCAAAACGAGGGTATTTAATGCGGCTAATATGACATTGCATATTCAGAAACTTGCTCATGTCCCAAGATCTAAAATGCAAAAAGTATGCAGTACAATTAGCAAAGATTATTGTGACAGATGTCAACCAGAAAAAAAAAAAAAAAAAAAAAATCATATTAATCTATTGCTCCATATCTATATATTACACATATATACTTGATTTGGAAGGTCAACTGCTTGTTACTTGAATGCCACTTAAGCTTTATTTAATCTACAAGCTATGGTTACAATTAACTCAATTTCTGTATATTAAGCACATTTTTCTGTACTCTGAGGGAGCAAATGTGCCAAGTACTGAATAAATGCGTATATACAATGCAGATCCTACTAAGCAAAAGGTCTGTTCTTTTCAAGAGAATGAGTTAAAAATCAGGGACAAAAATAAATAAATTGTTTCATTATAGTATTATACACTGCCTGGCCAAAAAAAAAACCCCACTAATATTTTGTTGGACAGCCTTTAGCTTTGATTACAGCACACATTCGCTGTGGCATTGTTTCAATCAGCTGCAATGTCGCAAGATTTGTTTCCGTCCAGTGTTGCATGAATTTTTCACCAACATCTTGTATTGATGATGGGAGAGTCTCGGACCACTGCTCAAAGCCTTCTCTATCACATCCCAAGATTCTCAATGGGGTTAAGGTCAGGACTCCGTGGTGGCCAATCCATATGTGAAAATGACAGCTCATGCTCCCTGAACCCCTCTTTCACAATTTGAGCCTGATGAATCCTGGCATAGTCATCTTGGAATATGCCAGTGCCATCAGAAAAAAAAAAAATAAAAGTTGCCATTCGAAAGATAATCACCCAAACAGTAACTATCCAATCGGAGGCTCTTATCTATTTGCTTAGTTAAATCCAGGTGGTGACTTTTTGGCCAGGCAGTGTATTATATAGTATTACAAACACAGCTAAGATTTAAGTGTTAGGAAAATCCAAACAAAAATTATGTAGTTTGCAGGCTATTTAGGTCTTGAAGACACACCGTTACATAGTTTTAAAAAGCAAATAAAATAGAAAAATACTCATATGCAATACCAGAATTTCATTAAAAAAAGTTCAATTAAAAAAGGTTGAGACAATATCGACTACTTTGTCTTATTAACTAGTTGAAACAGCAATAAGACGTACTTCAATCAACTGCTGCCATACCTTGCAAGAAAATGCAGACGGCATTTTAGTCTGAAATGACCTGTAAAGCACAGGTACTTTGAGTCCGTACCTACTGTAGTCCAAAGAACACATTCTGGACCCTTTTTTTTTTTTTTTTTAAGAAATAGCAGTCATAAAAATGCCATCAGGTTATTACAGGCACAAATATGTCCAGTATTGGACACCGTCATTACTATGCCATATATGCCTGCAAAGATCACTTTCTTTCAGACAAACTGCCCAACTCTTGTAGCCCAAAATCATTTAATAAAACAAGTAACCGCATTCAGCTTAAGGCTCTAAATCATACCCGTCAGTGAGGATTGCATATTTGTACTTTGTTCCGAGTTCCTTTTCTCGCATCCAGTCAACAACACTACGAAGAACTTCAGGAAACGTATCTGCACTGTCTACAATGTCCTGTCAGGATGATATATAAAAAAAATAAATAAAAAAAAAGTAGTTTGAAAAGCCAGCTAAAAGAAAAATCGATTTTGACAGGAATAAGTGTAGGTGTATTTATCAAGACAACCCACAGAGTTATATTTATAAAAAAAAAAAAATACCCAGAACATTCACTAAAAATTGGCCTTAGCTACGCAACCCAATGCCAGAAAGACATGCACACAGTCCGTGAACCAACAGCACTGATTGAGCTGCTTTTATTTCACAACCTGGCTTTATCAAATGCCATAATCACTACAACTGGCCCTCTATTGTGGTTATGGTGCTTGAAGACTGTGGGTGTCTACACCTACTTTGAGCAGTAGGACACAGAGGATCCCCAAGTGCCTGTGGTATGGCATTTGCTAGATTATTAATGTTTCATGTCATCGCTAATAAATGCTTAAAATTTTAAAAAAAAAAAAAAAAAAAAAAAAAAAGAAATACTAATGTAGAAGTGAAACGTCTGCATTAGCAATCAGGCGAGGTAAAAAGCCATTTTGCTGGTGCCTTGGACTCTGTGGCAAACCACTTCTAAACTGTATAACAGAAACAGGGGCTAGCACCTTCTAAATGGGCACACTGATACCATAAACCACAACGCATTGCAGTGGTTACGGGATTAGAGTGCCCATTTAGAAGTTATTTGTCTAGTAGTAGCTATCACATAACAGATTTTCTCTGTAGAAAAGAACAAGCACCGAGTATGACAATGAACACATTTAGTTACTACAGACATGAATATATATATCCTATTTATATAGTTAAATCCCCCATCTTATAATATTGTAAAGCTCTACGGAAAAATGTTAGCACTATATACATTGCAATAATAATGTATATATACACACACACCTGAGTAATTCCTGTAAGTGTAATGCAGAATTCAGAAAGATTAGTCTTGATTTCCGGCCTCACATAACGCTGAAATGTGTCTTCCTAGAGAAAAGAGAAAACAAATCGAATAAGAAAACATTAAAAATAAAATATTCTATATGGTTTAATTTCTAAACATTTTCTATGCAAGTGTAATACAACCCTGTCACAAATGGCTGTAATGAGCCTTCTACAACGCACTACTCTGGGTAAATATTTGCAGATTGTATCCCTGTGTTAAGAGGAAACTTGGATCTCTTCTGTATTATCCAGCTTCCTTTTAGTTTTCTACTGAAAGTTTAGAGTAGATGCTTCAGAAGCCATCTTACAGAAGTTTATATCGATGTCATTACAATTAAATCGTTCTGTTAGTTGGGATGCTAAATTCAAAGGAAAAACATGTTTGCAAACTTGTTTCAGAATCTAACCGAATCCCTTAGTTTGATATATTCATGGTTTTAGAACTAGTTTCTGCTAGTTAATGCACTGCAGTTCACACATACTACCACGAGCAAATAAGAGCTGAATATGCTCAAGTACAATAAGAAAGAGCAATTCTTTTAAAAAAACTTTAAAGATCACTTAAAGGAGCACTATAGTGCCAGGAAGACAAACTTGTTTTTCTGGCACTATAGGGTCATTAGGTCCCCCCCACCCTCAGGGCCACATGGATTAAAACCCCTTCAGCCACTTACCTTTCTCCAGCACCAGGCTCCCTCTGTGGGTGCGCATTCAAACAGCCCATATGAAAGCAGAATACATATATTTTGTTGAGTATAAAAATTCACAGGCCCCTCCCAGTGTTTTAAAAGGATTTGAAAGAAAGGCAGATTTTTCACCTTGAGTTGACATTAGGCCAGGTACAATATATATTCCCTTAAAATCTTACAATTTCCAAAGTCTTTGTGTTGACCAAAACAATGGGGAATTCAATGATCTCATGGATGTAGTCTGGCTTGTTACATTCTTCACAGGTGGCCTCAAAGTCTATGACGCAAATGTAGTCATAATAAGTATCCTGACTGCTTGAATCCTTTAACACAACATGCGTTAGCTTCTGTTTTTTGTAGTAATTCTTCAGGCGCTTTCTGAGCACATCTTTTACACCACTGGATTAAAACAAACATGCAAAATAAAGTTTAGTCAGGGTGGGGTGGGAGAGGAAAGGAGAAGAAAAAAAAAAAAAAAACCCCCACAACATACTAGAAGATGGATCAACATTTTAGATCTGAACAACGCTTATCAAAACCTACCATTGCTTTCTTTTTTTGGTTTTATATTGATTTGACCCAAGTTTCATCACCAAGGCAAGTCATTTAATAATTGAGACTTCAAGTGTGGAGTCTACAGTTTGAGACATAAATATACACACATGCAATTTTCTTCTTTTTTTTTTTTTTTATTAGGCAGTTTAGAAGAGTTCTGGCTATCTATAGGATGAAACTGGCACAAGATCCGTTTAGGTAAAAAGGAATATTTGTTTTCCACATTATAGAATGTATAAAAGTTTGAAGTGTATAATGTGTTCTCTACAGTTTCCCTTTCCTCTGTGGAGCAGGAGAGGTGTGATTCAACCCCCACCCCCTCTCCTCCATAGCTCATTGCTAGTGATATAGCCAAAAAATACTGAGTGATCAGAACTCTGCATCCTGTATTGTACTACTCACAAGGGAGAGAGTGCTCGAAAAAAAGAACCTCACTGTTCTATCTTTGGCCACAAGAGCACTACAGTTTAGGATAAGGACCCAGGATTTGTGTGTCAGTTATGCCATTGGCACAGTCACACAAATACATAAAGAAACTTTTACCCACGTAGAAAATCGTAACTCCTAACACAATTGACAGTGCTATAGACCAATCAACGCTCAACCTCACCTTTGGCCATACATGGAGGATGATGTAAGCACTATGTATATGTCAGATAAGATGTTTTGATACATTTTTTGACCAACTGGGAGATAAATTGTGGACACTAGGCCCCATTTGCGATACTATGTTGAGTAGGATTTGTCAAGCCCCGGCCAACATGTCCATACACAGACAAACATACTGACACTAACTCGGCAGTTTATTCTACCTTCCTATTATCACATCAGCAGTATTGTCACTGGTGTTAGTGGGCTGTTGCTGTGATATACTGTAGCAGAGACATTGTTCACAACTCCCCAGGCACTACGAAGTGATTTATTCAGGAAAATGTAAAGCGCGACTTTGTCGCAGACAACACATTAAAGATTCACTGTTTTATTTACACAAGCGTTTGAGAAAATACATGGTAAGTTGTAGTGATAGAATGTTACTATATGCAGTAACATTTATTTCTGAATGCAACTAGTTAGGGAACCTCTGCTTTTGTGATATCTGTGGCAGATCATTTAATATAAAATAAACAAATCTTTGTGCCACAAACAGACTTACCTAGTGTCAAGCTTATACTCTGCAAGTTTTGTTTTCAGCTCATCCTTACTCATTCTGTTAACAAAACCATTTGAAATGGCTATTTCTTTATAGACAGGGTCACTGAAGTTACTAGCGCAAGAAGTGATCGATGTGATCAATGTAGGCTCTTGACCATCCAACCTACTCTTCTGCTTTACCTGCAAGCAAAAAAAACAAAAAAAAAAAACCTTGAGATTCGCTTGATCATTAAAGATTTCAGAGTAATGCAAGAAAGCCAGTGTGTTCTTTCCATAACAATATTCCATGATTATTTTACTTTAATTCATAACTGAAATGGCAAATAGTGCACACAGTGGTACCCTGAATGTCTGTTGTGTAAGAGTACACACAGGTACCTGCAATAACCCTATTAAAAGGGGGATTTAGGGTAAGAAGCTACAGATTATAAAAAAAAAAAAAAAAAGTTCATCTAAGCAAGTTAGGGTGAGTTTAGTCCAATTTACCACTCCAGGATCTGATGGTTTTTCAGTGTTGAAATGGTCACGTTGGAACCTTTTAATGTAAAGGAAGAAAAGACCTTTGAACTCAATGATGTAGTGTGCATGAGGGTCACTGCTAGAAAATGGCAAGAAGTTGTATTTTGTTTCTATCGAACAATTAAAGTTTAACAGCTCCTAAACAATGACTAGGTCACTTGTCCTAAAGAGAAAGGATATGCCAGGCGGGCAGACTCCGAAGGAGCAGGTTCATGGGATTTGATGGGGCAGAGGTTTGTGGGTATCAGGTGAGTGCACGGAGGTAGCGCTAGCCAGGTGTCAGGCGCAGTGCAATGCGTGCAGCTGGGTTTGGCGGGAAGCTTGCCCTCAGGTAGGGTTCCTGAGTGGCTAATTGCAGCACGAGCTACCTAGCAGCAGGAACTGCGGGGTATAAATTTAAAGGTCTGAACAAGTTAAAGAGGAAGGGGCTGAACTGCAGGAGGAGATTACAAATTGAGGAGTGTGCGGGCTATTTCCCTCCCACAATTACGGGGCCAGTGCAAGAAGATTTGATGAGAGTGACTCCTGCAAGATTCATGAGGCAAGGATTAGAAAATCCAGGGATACTTTTCACCATCTCCCATAAGAAGCAAGAAGAGGCAGTAGAAACAAAAGCAGGAAATCTGAACAAAAGAAGCTGTGTGAAGAGAGTGAAGCTGCCCAGGACGCCATGGGTCACAGTCATGAGCTGGGTGAGTCACAAAAAAAAAAACCAAAAAAAAAAAAAAACCAAAAAACCCCAAAAAAAAACGGAATAATGCGGTTTTAGGTGAGGTAGATTCTTAACTTGAAAAGATTACCAAAGTTATTACAGACATTTAGCGAGAGCTTGGGTCAAAGGCAAGGAAACCATCACAGGTAGTCCTAAAGTGATGCAGTCTGTGTGGGAGGAGGTTAGAGTGAAAGAAACTTATATGTTAGGGTGTGAAAGTTCCCCTCTGGTTTTTCATTTAAGTAAATCAATAAAAAAAGATAGGATATGGAGAATACAGTGATATCCTCTCACTGTTACTACTGCCTTTTCTCAGAAAAGGCAGTGTTTACATTAAAAAGGCTACAGGCATTAGAACAACTACATTAAGCTGTAGTGGTTCTGGTGACTATAGTGTCTCTTTAAGAATTGTATATTTCTCATAAATTAAACTTCGCTAGTTTAAAAAAAATAAAAACAAACTTGCTCTTAACTTTTTTAGCTGGCTCCTAGATTCCAAACAAATTTGTCAAGCTCTGATTTAGGGCCCTTTTTGGAATTATCAGTTATTTTAAGTTTTGAAAGTACTAGGTTATTCACCCTTGGAGCTAGTTTTATTTAGAAGTTTGTTTAGAAGGTAAAAGAGATGGTTGTCATTAGGTCGCTTCCAACTCAAGAACATAGCGCGCATCCGCCCATACCTAACGCGGCTAAGGTACTGGTTCATGCTGTTCTCTCTCGCCTTGACTATTGCAATTCCCTTCTCACTAGTCTTACATGTTCTCAGCTTGCACTGCTGCTATCTATAACGAATGCAGCTGCGAGGCTTATTTTCCTGTCCGGCCGCACCTCCCACACCTCCACGCTCGGTCAGTCCCTGCATTGGCTTCCAGTTAGATATAGGGCCCAATTTAAAATTCTGGCACTTGCTTACAAATCCCTACATAATGCTGCTCCAACATACTTATCCTCCCTCATACACAAGTATGTCCCGTCGAGACTCCTGCGCTCAGCCCAAGACCTACACCTATCCTCTGCCCGGATCCCCACCTCTGATGTTCACCTTCAAGACTTCTTCAGGGCTACACCTATTCTGTGGAACTCCTTTCCCTCCTCAATCAGCCTCCACTCCATTAAAACAAAAAACAAAAAAACACACACACCTTTGAAAATTCACTTCATCATTAAAGCGCATCAATTAAACTGTCAGCAAGTTTCTCATCCCCCACCCCATGACTCCTTTCCTGTAACTGTCAAAAATGACCTACCAATCAAACCCTTCTCTAAGAAACTATTTAATTCCCCTACTTTAACCCTTTGTGTCACCATACCCCACTCCCTCTAGCATGTAAGCTCATCGAGCAGGGCCCTCAACCCCCTCTGTTCCTGTACGTCCAGTGGTCTGATCTCATTCAAGGCTCAATCATGAGCCCAGTGAGAGTGACAGAAGAATAGTTATTACGGCCAAGAGTGGAAGGTCCATTCTTTATGCACATTGGTTCTAGCCCGCTAACTAAATGTCAATTAATAAAAGTTTTAAGGTATGCCTGGATAAATTAAAGTTTAGGCAAAGAGCATTATTAAATCACAATTCCTTCAGAATAGGAGCTGCAACGGAAGCAGCAAGGTGTGTTTTAAGTGAAGGTATCATTCAAAGATTGGAAGATATATCTATCTATCTCTCAATCAGACTTCATTTGTTAAAAAACCCACATGATTAAGAAATTCCTTATGTGCAAGTGGTAACTAGTTCAAAGTTATGATGTTTCATAGAATTGGTGCATATAATATCTCTCTTCCTGAAGCTGGCGATTGCCTGGGTTATTGGTCACTCGTTTGTAGTTTGGGCCCAGAAAAGGGCACAGGAGCATACGAAGAGCACTTCAGTTAAAATATTTTGAAAAGCACCTGTGGTGCCAAGTGGTCACACATGTCGAGAATCTGGGTTTCAAGAGCACTTCAGTTAAAAATATTTTGGCTAGGCATCTGTGATGCTACGTGGTCAGTTATTGGAAAAGTAAAAAAAAAAAATTTATCAAATTTTTACCTATCCAGATTTAATAGTGAATTTAGGAGGTATCGACGACATTGTAGCACAAAATTTTTCATTAGTTCATTTTATTTGGTCAGAATTATAGCAAGGAATTGCTATCGAAAAGGGTGCAGAAAAAATTCAACAGAATGCTAGAAAAGTTTTTGCCAACATCAGGGATGCGTTCAGATAGGCACACAGAATGCTTGGTTGTATAGGGAGAGGTATTAGCAGTAGAAAGAGGGAAGTGCTCATGCCACTGTACAGAACACTGGTGAGACATCACTTGGAGTATTGTACACAGTACTGGAGACCGTATCTTCAGAAGGATATTGATACCTTCGAGAGGGTTCAGAGAAGGGCTACTAAACTGGTTCGTGGATTGCGGGATAAAACTTACCAGGAAAGGTTAAAGGATCTTAACATGTATAGCTTGGAGGAAAGACGAGACAGGGGGGATATGATAGAAACATTTAAATATATAAAGGAAATCAACACAGTAAAGGAGGAGACTATATTTAAAAGAAGAAAAACTACCACAACAAGAGGACAGTCTTAAATTAGAGGGACAAAGGTTTAAAAATAATATCAGGAAGTATTACTTTACTGAGAGGGTAGTGGATGAATGGAATAGCCTTCCAGCTGAAGTGGTAGAGGTTAACACAGTAAAAGGAGTTTAAGCATGTGTGGTATAGGCATAAGGCTATCCTAACTATAAGATAAGGCCAGGGACTAATTAAAGTATTTAGAAAATTGGGCAGACTAGATGGGCCGAATGGTTCTTATCTGCCGTCACATTCTATGTTTCTATAGTTATTGAGGGCAGTTGCACAGATGTGTATAGGCGCAATGTGATTAATTTGTCAGTCATAAGTTTGGTAATATTTAATTTAAAGTCTTCAGTCTCTGGTGGTTATGGCCATGGCCTATGGGGGGGCCCACATAGTTTGTTTGCCCAGAAGCTCGGTGGCATTGGCCTATAAGCCTGGTCATCACAGGAGGGTGGAATTTGTTTATTTGGTTGGAAATAGCCATTTCCAGGCTGTGCCTCTTAAAGCCAGGAGCCATAAATGTATATTTGATTTTGGTTTAAAGTTATGGTTTATTGTTAGGGAAATCCGTAATAAAGTCACAGCCAGTCGCCAAATGTTATCAATTTTATAAGAAAAAAAAAAAAATACATTTTAGAGGAAGAAGTTGTGTTTTATTTGTACTATGTATCAGGAAGAATGCAACATTCAAACCCCATTCTGAATTGCTTTAGGAACAGTTACTATATTACTTCCCACACAGTAGCATTACTGTAACATCCATCTTGCGACATTTGGAGACATTTCTAAAGGAGACAAATCCTGCTTATGGACAGACATGCTCATTTCTTTGCTTACCTGATTCCAGCGCTGGTTCTGCCTCCTTCTCTGCAGACATCAGTCAATGGGGGTGATGGGACTCCCTGCTTTCCTATGGGGTTTTTCAACATGCTGGACATCCTCATGCAAAGAGTGAGGATGTCCAGAATCGATACACGGAGTCAAACTTTGTGAATCTACAAGAAGCACCTCTAGTTCGGGTCTTCATGCAGAGTGTGAGTGCAACAAATATCTGCCCTGCACAGACTGCAGTAATATAATATGAAGTACTTTCAGTGGCTCTCAGTAGAAGTATCATTAGGGACAAATGCCTCAGAAAAGGCAATATTTACAAATCAGAGCCCTGCAGTGCCAGAACCTATACTCAACAATCACTACATTAGGCTTATGTGGTTCGGGTGTTTAGCGTTGAATAAGTAAACATAGTATCAGAAGTCCAGGGAAACGACAATCTGATCCACTGTCACAACGTTTGTTTCATTTACAACTTAACATATTGAAAATATTATTTACACTGTACAATAGCAACGAATCTCTGCAGGTATACCTAAACACTGAGGGGTGAGCAAAGCCTACAGGAGAAAAAAAAAATCTGAACACCTGACATGGTGTTCCCATTCACAGTGACAGATCCTAAAAACCCCCATCCTCAGCTCTCCTCACCCCCACAGACCCCCAGCTCTCTCCTCACCCACACACAGACCCCCAGCTCTCTCCTCCACCCACACACAGACCCCCAGCTCTCTCCTCACCCACACACACAGACCCCCAGCTCTCTCCTCACCCACACACAGACCCCCCCAAGCTCTCTCCTCAGCTCTCTCCTCTCACCCACCCCCCAGCTCTCTCCTCACCCACACAGACCCCAGCTCTCTCCTCACCCACACACACCCCCAGCTCTCTCCTCACCCACACACATCTCTCCTCCCCCAGCCTCCCTCTCCCTCACCCACACACACAGACCCCCAGCTCTCTCCTCACCCACACACAGACCCCCCAGTCTCCCTCACCCACACACCCCCCAGCTCTCTACTCACCCACACACAGACCCCCAGCTCTCCCTCCTCACCACAGACCCCCACTTCCCCAGCTGGCACTCTCCTCACCCCACCCCCCAGCTCTCTCCTCACCCACACACACAGACCCCCAGCAGCTCCCTCTCCCACACACACCCACACACAGACCCCCCCCAGCTCTCCTCACCCACACAGACCCCCCAGCTCTCCCTCACCCTCTCTCCTCACCCACACAGACCCCCAGCTCTCTCCTCACCCACACAGACCCCCCAGCTCCTCTCCTCTCCCACCCACACACAGAGACCCCCAGCTCTCTCCTCACCCACACACAGACCCCCAGCTCTCTCTCCCAGCTCTCTCTCCTCCTGCCCCCTGGGCCCCCGGCTCTCTCTGAGGCCCACACACACAGCCCCCAGCTCTCTCCTCACCCACACACAGACCCCCGCCCAGCTCTCTCCTCACCCACACAGACCCCAGCTCTCTCCTCACCCACCCACACACAGACCCCCCAGCTCTCTCTCCCCTCACCCCACACAGACCCCCCAGCTCTCCCCAGCTCTCTCCCTCACACCCACACACAGACCCCTCCCAGCTCTCCTCACCCACACACAGACCCCCAGCTCCTCTCCTGACCTAGTACCCAGACCCCCAGCTCTCCTCACCCACACACAGAGACCCCCTGCCCCAGCTCTCTCCCTCACACACAGACCCCCAGCTCTCTCCTCACCCACACAGACCCCCCCAGCCTCCTCACCCACACACAGACCCCAGCTCCCCAAGTTCTCTCCTCACCCACACACTGACCCACACACAGACCCCCCTAATCCTTCTCTCCTCACCCACACACTGGACCCCTTTCTCTCCTCACCCACACACTGACCCCTAATCCTTTCAATGAGACAACGTATAAAGCTCCCACTCACTCCTCCATTGAGATCCATGTGCTTCGCCATCCTCCTGCACAGATCGTCCGCCTCTGGGTGGCCTGCATGCAGCGGCCTGTTCTCCTTCTGCTCCTCCATGTTGTGTGGCTGTCAGTGTCCCTGGGCGGGCAGCACCCAGCTCGGTGAGGGGTCAGGACCGATACTGGGGGGGGTGTCATAAGCAGCCAGCTGTCCCAGTCCGAGCCCCGACCATGGCTTCCCTGTCAACAACCCTCCTCCATCAAGTCTTGTCTGTCCCGCTTTTGGACTAGAAATTACGTCACGTCCGGCTGAGAGAGGCAATCCCGCATCGCTGATAGGCTAAGAGGACCGGGAGGAAGAAGCCGATGCCGCCATCATTGATTGGGGAGGACAAATGTGGCAGTGACCTGTCAAGACAGTTTATTTCATCCAGTAGGATTCTCATTCCGGGTCTCACACTTATTACGAACAGGTGGGGGAGGGTTTGTTTTGATTTATACTATAATTATAATATCTGATGTAGAGATATTATGGGATTTTATTTTGTTGCTCTTAAAGGGACACTGTAATTACTTTGACAACTTCAAATTGTCATAGTGCCTGCAGTCCTGTACCCCCTCACCTACCTCCTATAGGCCCTCTAATTTAATAAGAGGCCTCAAGGTACGCCTCCAAGCCCTCTTTGAAATAGAGCCAGGAATCTTGCTTCCTGGATCTCATACTGTAACATACCGTGACTTCACGCGTGCATGCGCATGCAGGCCTGCCGCAGCAGTGTTGAGGAAGATTTGGTGCTTGAGGAGTGTGGGTAATTAGTTTTAAAATAAATTCTTTGTTTTTATTTTAAGATTAAATGGTGGGGGACCTAATTGTACAGAAGCACCAGGACTGTAGCGTTAGGAATACAGATATGTATTCAGCTACTCCGGCCGCAAATGTGAAATTCTCTTTGAATTCACTTTGAATCCCCGCTTTAGTACATAACCATGTATATCTAACAGCAGTGGTAGGCATTCCAGATGGCGTGGACTGCATCTCCCATAATGCTCTTGCAGCAATAATGCTGGCAAAACATCAAGGAGATGTAGTCCACAACATCTGAAGGGTCAGTATTATAGTTGATCCAGCACACAGAATAGTATCACACCTAGGACTAAGGATTACGTCTAACCGGACCTTTGAATGGCCAACGATGAGGAAAGCCAGAAGTCAAGGAAACCAGAAATTAGGGAAGTAAAAACGAAGCCAAAGTCAAATACCAGAAAAACACAATCAGGAACACACTCTCGAAAAACCAACTAGTGGAAACCACAACAGGGCACAGAGAGAAAGGTAATTTGGGTTTAAATAACCCTCCTTAGGCTGTACTTGGCTGTCTCTGACCTCTGACCCCAAAACGTGCGTGCGTGTCTATTACGTGACGTTGCACGCACATTGGTGCCATCTTTGATGCGGGCAGCAGTAAGTCTCCTATTAAAACCGGAAATGCAGCGGCCGGCGTCTGTAGGAATGCCGTTCTTGCTGGAGATTTTGATAGAAGGAGGCCGGGCAGCGGTTTGCCGCGACCAAGGTAATTATGAGATTTTTCTGTTGGCGTGGCCACTATGTTTCAGTGCGGCCATGCCGGCAGAATCGCAGGGAGCCGTGACATGAAGTGCCAAAGGCTGCCTAATCCTGTACTATGGGATGGTCAATTTGTTCATTAATAATCATTGGATTGTTTGATTAATTAATTAATTGATTGCCCCCTGCAGCAAATGAGTACTATAGATAAATAACATAGTTAGTTACATTGGAAGAAAAACCTTCCACAATCACTTTGAAGTAGGGCAATCACGTTGTGTCTTTTTATACTAATATTAATTTAGTGCAACACCAGAGATTTTAGCAGGTGGGGAGAGCTTTAGGTATTGCTGTTAATATAGTGGAATTGGTGTATTTTCCAAATCAACACTTTTTTCTTAAATTTTGCAGTTTGGGTTTCAATTCACAGTTCATTCAAATTTGATCTTATAATGCCATCTAGTGGGTAAAATATCTAATTAAAGAAGGTTTTTTTTTTTATTTTTTTCATGCGAACATTTGTCATCTCTCTCATGATTGGCGAGACTTGAATGGTCCTGGCGGTGGAAATAATACCACCTTTCTGAGTAGAAAGGCACTGAAGGCAAAAATGTATATTTCTAGTCTCTATAGCAGGGCTGCCCAACAGGTAGATCCCCAGATGTTGTAGAACTACAACTCCCATGATGCTTTGCATGCCTTTATAATGCATTTAGAATGACAAAGCATCATGGGAGTTGTAGTTCTACAACATCTGGGGATCTACCTGTTCGGCAGTCCTGCTCTAGAGTGTCTCTCTGCTCAGTGAGACTAAACATCAGAGGTCTGGAAATGACCCCAGTAATAAATCGAGCAGTATAGTTCTGAGCAGAGATGCACAGTGCAGTGTAGTTCCGAGCAGAGATATACAGGCATTTCAACTGACAACAGTCTAGTCAAAATATATTGCAAAAAATAACAAAATATATATAAGTGCTCACAACAATACGGGCAGAAGTGTATCTGTCAAGGATTCCCAAAAACTTATGAAATCAATGTAACTAACAAGAAAAATTGATTTTCTTGCTTTTGTATATGTCAATAAGTTTGTAAGGAATGACATGTTAAAGGGATTTTATATTAACAAAAATGTTGTAAAAAGTATTAACGTTTTATCAATAAACCCACTTCTGATAAGGAAAGTAATCAATATATTAAAAGTCAAAATTTTATCCTTCCCATTGTAAATTTAAGTGCATTGGAGATTTTTGAAAAAAAAAGTGTCTAAAGATCTACGAAAGCTTAATAATAAACCTGGAGCTAAACCAAACCTAACCAGGAGAAAATAATGGTAGTAAGAGAATTACAGAATGTTTAATCTATTGGTATTGAACCGGCCCATATAGGCGGGGGTTTGGTAATCCAATCAAAAGAGATGTATGAAGAAGAGGCATACAGACAACTAAACAATACCAACACCTACTGCAGATATTGCAATGAAACAACATAGCTTTTTTGAAAAAGGGAAGGAAGATCAGGATTCTGGATTCAGAAGAATTCAATTATATTCATATTTCAGAACCTAGAATTCCCATGTATCTACTTCCTAATGAAGATCCACAAAGATATAAATAAACCCCCTGGACGGCCCATCGTTTCTGGCATTGGGTTGTACCTTTGCAATCTTTCTTAATATATTGATATTATGTTGCAGCAATTTGTTATAAAAAAAAAAACTAAATCATATCTCCAAGATACCACTGATTTACCATAATCTGAGCAGATGATTATATGCTCTTTACGGGCAATGTACAGTCCCTATGTACAATAATCCCACTGTCAGGGTGGCGGTCCGGTGCCCGGGACCCAGACACTGTCCGGGCGGCGGTGCGAGGACCGGGACCCAGTATGCCTGATGTTCAGAGTAGGAGTCACAGTGTGGAGGTGGATTAGCAGGGTCTGGTGCAGGGTAACCACAAGCCCCCTGGTGTTGAGCACCAGCGTTTGTGCAGCCACATACCAGAACCCTGATGCAGCTACAGCGTATCCCAGAAATTAGGAGCAGAAATTAAGCAGACCTCCCAGGAGCTGAATAGGGAGGCTCTGCAGCAAGAATGTATCCAGTACAGAAACCATACATGAAAACAAGACAAAACTAGGAGAACCCAGAACCGGAGCAGGACAGAAAGCAGAACCAGAACATGTACAAAAGACATGAGGAAAACAAGAACAGGGCCGGACAGGACTGTACATGGACTGGGAATACAAGACAAAATAAAACAAGACAAGAGATACAAGGTAAAACAAGAGGAGACATAACTAAGCAATATATATGAAAAGTATGGGGATTTAGTTACATTATATGTTCATACATTGCATAAGCCTGCCACAACGCCAATGTACCCCATATTTGGCAGGTCCTACACTGCCTAATGTTCGCTAAAAGAACCATACTAAACCACAATAGCACTTACCTGCAAGAAAGGGCAAAAGCCTTGAGCAGCTGCCTGCAGGAACTCTGAAACAAAGGGAATGATGGAAAAAAATGGGGGTGGCAACATAAAACAAACATTTAAAGGAAACCAACAGACTGGGAAATCCGGGGACGGAATAAAAGGAATGAACCCAGAAACCCAGCATAAAGAAAACCAGACAAAGAATAGAAAACCAGAAAACCAAGAAAAACTAAACAAGAATTGTAAAAAGAGTACTGGATACCAGAAGCCATTGCCAGAAAGATCCACAGCGAGGAACAGGATGTGACACCCACATAGAGAGGACTGTCAAACTGTCAAATCAGTTTTAGAAAAAGATGGCAGTATGCACCATACCCAACTAGAATTTATAATAAAAGGTAATGATATGATTTTAAAAAAAACAACTATTTCTGGTTTAATTACTCTTTTCATTTGCAAAGAAATGGGAGTGCTATGGGTACCAGGTTTGCACCCAGTGGAAAAACATATTTGGACAGAGCGTTGCTGGTGTGCTAACCTGGTCTCATATTTTATGTATATAGATGATCTTCTCTTCATATGGAAATGATTTTTTTTTTTACAGGCTATGATTTTATTAATTGTTTAAATTATAACAATTGTATTATTTTAACAACTGATGTAAATAACACTCAAGTACATATTTAGATCTCAATATTTATATTAAAGACAACAAGATCCAAACAAAGGCACATTTAAAAAAAAGTACATGTCAATAACTACATTAACATGGATACCTTCCACAATAATGTTTGATAGGAGAGCATAACTAAGCATAACTAAGAGTCATATGCTTAGATTAAAAAGGAATTGTTTGGAGTTGTCAATATTTAAAGAACAAACAACTGGTTTAAAATTTATGCAGAAAGGCTATGATTAAAAAAAACTATAAATACTGTGATAAAACAGACAAGACAAATAAAAATTACATTATTATTAAAAAAGCATTACTAAACCTATTAATGGAGACCTTTCATTAGCAATAGTATTATACTATAATAATAAAAGCAAACAAATCAAAAAAGTTATAAAAAGATACTTGTATTTATTAAAAGATGATGACTTCCTGAGATATTATTCCTGACAATTCAACAACTATCTTCAGGGGTGCCCCCAATTTGAAAATGCACTTAAAGAGTTTCACTAGGAAAACCAAACTAACAAATAAATCCTTCTTAGATAGAATTGTTTTTTTACAGATGCAATTGTTGCATTGTGTTGTAGCCATGGCTTGAAGATCAAAATTAAGCTCTTAATTAATATATAATAATTACGTAGTAAGTAACAACATTAATATTTTTATAGTTCTAGGTATTATGGTCGAATATGTCGATAGAAAATACAAAAAACATTGTAAT